AATACAATTGCTTTCAGTTAGTCTCGCAAAAACTCAGTAACAACTCAAATTCAAATTTCAAATTGAAAATTATTTATTTAGTAACATATATTTTAATTAATTATATTTAATTGTCGAAACTTATTTTTATACATAAAAATCCAAGTACCAAAAGGTTTCACACTTCCACCTTATATAAGTGTTAACTATACGATGTGAAGCTATAAAGGTCACCCGCGGCCAACAGCAATAGAGAAGTCCGAAAAAAAGGCCAAGCAGCTTGCTCTGTAAGCTGTGTTAGTTGAAGGACGGTAAGGTAGTGAAATTCAAATGTTCACTCGACAATTACCATTGTGTGGACCGTCGACTGATTTGTCAATTAAATATTCATAAAAAGACATGTATTATAATTTTTTCAAATAAACCCGAATCAATGTCACGAACACTTTGATCCAATTAAGGATAATCATTCACAATAACATTATCTGAAAAACATTACTGTAAATGTATTTCCTTAATTTTACCCTGATTTTATTGAAACTTCGTAAACAAGAAATTATACAGTTATCTACCAAATAATTTAGCTAATTATTTATCAGAGAAAATATGTAGTCTACACTAATATTAATAATGTTAAAGGAATATATCTTTGCATGTTTGTAATGAATGAACTCAAAAACCACCGAACTGATTTCATAACATCAAACTCAAGGTGTAGAAATATATCCACTGGTGCGAAGTCGGGACGAGCTGCTAGTATTTTAAAGTAAAATATGTTACAACAATTTAAAATATTCATCGCAGCCCGGAAGACGTCCACTGCTGGACATAGGCCTCCCCAAAAATCTCCACGACGATCGGTCCTGCGCTGCTCGCATCCAATGCCTTCCCGCGATCTTGACCAGATCGTCGGTCCACCTTGCTGGAGGCTTTCCCACACTGCGTCTTCCGGTCCGTGGTCGTCACAGGACTTTACTGACCCAACGGCCATCTGTTCTACGAGCTATGTGCCCCGCCCATTGCCACTTCAGAGTCGCAATTCTTCAGGCTATGTCGGTCACTCTGGTTCTTTTGCGGATCTCCTCATTTCTTATTCGATCACGCAGAGTAATTCCGAGCATAGCCCTCTCCATTGCCCTTTGAGTGACTCTGAGCTTGTTCATGGGGGCCATAGTTAGCGACCACGTCTCTGTGCCGTAAGTCATCACTGGCAATACACATTGGTCGTAAACCTTCGTCTTGAGACACTGAGGAAATTTGGACGAAAAGATATATCGGAGCTTCCCGAACGTTGCCCATCTGAGTTGGATTCGACGATTGACCTCTTTCTCGAAATTGGGTCTACCTAATTTTAAACATTAATTCTCATGAATCACTTACAAATATAACAATATATAATTATTAGTTAATCATTATGCAGGACACTTTACACAATAGAATTATATGATCTATAAACTCTTCAGTGAAAATCCGTTTCAGAAGTGCCGGAAAGGTTTCTTTTATTTTATAGGCTTTTGTCGACACCCAAAATCAATTTTCTTCTATAAAATTTACAGTTGTAGCTAACCATTTTATTGAAGTCTATAAACCAAACAAAGGTTCATGGAATGTATAAAACGTGACAACTAGGTTTACCAACCGTCTCAACATTGAAATAGACTTTATATAGTATAAAGTCGATTTCGTGGTTTAGATTTGAAATAAGAATAAGGATCTCAGGACAATTCATACTGCGCCATCTACACCCAAACTAGCTAAAGCTTGTGTTATAACTACTAGATAATGATAATATATATTATTTCCGTAAATACATGCATATTATACATAGAAAACACCCAGGTCGATACAAAGAATCGTACTCATGAATACAAATCTTTGTGCTGTGCCAGTAATCAAACCCGCGACGATCGGAAGTAAGGTGGTGCGCTAAACCGCTAGACCACCGAGGCCATCGTATTAATAGTTAGAGTAATTGTGATTGGGAAAGTAAAATAATTATAAATATTCAAGTTAGTAAAGTTTGCAGTCTTTTTTTTCAATTGAAGATGACAAGGAATGTTTTTTGTAAATATATTATTTTTCTTTACACAAACCAAATAATTCTAACAGCTGGATATAATACCGGCATTTTTGCGCCACAAATACTAAAAATATAAAACGAGATATATTATATACGTGGCGATTTTTTATAAATAAAACCCTTAAAAGTTCAATATCATAGTTGGATATTCTAGTGGCAACCCTAAAAAAGAGGATGAACGGAGAAATAAATGAAGGCAGTAAATTGGTACGGATGTCGCTACTCTTTGTGTTCTTTCTAGAATGACTCATTAAAAATGAATCTTGATAATTCGCTGTTTATTGTAATATAAGTGTATAACAAATGTTTAAAAAATAACAAGAGAATTTTATATTTTTATTCGCAAAAAACGGCGTATTTTTCTTATAATTCAAAACACATTTATTTTGTTTCAGTAACTCAATTCGACTATTGAGGATACCGTGGACAGCCGTACAAACGTCTCTGTACTAATAGAGTTCAAAATAGAAGATGTACAGCATCTGTCGTATACTTCGGCCATGTCGCGCGGAGGGATGTGGACAATATAGAGTGACTGATGTCAATAGGGAAGATAGAGAGTAAAAGACCTCGAGGCCGAAGTTCCATTCTATGGCCAGACCAGATATCCAGTGAACTAAATACAATAATAATAATCTCAGGATAATTCATCAGCACTATCTAGTCCCAAGTTAAGCTAGCTAAAGATTGTATTACATTTGACGGCCTCGGAGGTCTAGCAGTTTAGCACACAGCTTTCCTTCCGATGGTCGCGGGTTGGAGTCCTCGCATAGTGCAAACATTTGTATTCATGAGTATGATTGTTTGTATCGGGTGTCTTGATATGTATATTATGTAAGTGCTTACAAAAAGAAACCCTAAATATTTATATCAGTTGTCTAGTACCCGTAACAAAAGCTCTACTTACCGTGGGATTAGATGACGCTGTGTTCATTGTCCAGGATTATTTATTTATTTAATTGTACTGTCTGCTCAAGCACTAAACCACTGTTTTTCAGGTATTGGCCAGGTATATATATATAGTATACATTTTGCTGTTCATGTATTTAGGCGGAGGTTGGCGATAACCATCAGATAGGCTGTACTTCTATTTGTCCTAGTTCTATTCCAGTTACATAAAAAAATACACATCCACTGTAGTAACTCATAACTGGCTTTAGTATGATGAACACACGCGCTTTTATGATACATAATTAAATAAACCACAGTGTCACGCCCCGTGAATTCTCTTCATACTTAGGGTAATGTCATTAAAAGCTGACGATACAGGAAATCACTACACAAATAACTACCCTGTGTGCTTGGTATAGGATACATTTTTCCAATTTATTTGTATTAAGTATATAACATCTTTAATTTTTCTGTATACTGCCATACTTTATTAACTGATGTCTAAGGGGAAGAGGTTTAAAATAATGCTCTATTAATTTATTTTCTAAAATATATTTATGCGATAACTTTGATAAAACTAAATAGATTTCAAAGCAATATACATTATTGTTGATTTTTTAAATTTCAAATGAGTTTTCAAGCAATTTGCTCAAAACATTAGCGAACTATGCATCTAAATGTAAACCTTTCTGAGATATCACTGTATTGATGAATGATAACCAAATGAAAATTCTTGCAGTACCTATTTGAGATTTCTGAATATATACTATAAATGTTTAAAAGAGCAATAGTCTCTTAGTTTCTTACTCATTCTTCTTATGTGCAGTTTATAGGTACAGTCCTTAAGCAAATCAAATAAAAAAATACGTATCTAGAAACGTTATCTAGTCACTAGTAAGCGGAACGTGTATTATGTATACTTGACAACTAATATATGTACTTATATACATTTTTTTTTGTAAATATACATAGAAAACATTCAGACCGATACAAAAGTTCACACTCATGATTACAAATTATTGCACCGTGTAAGAAATAGAACCTGCGACCATTGGAATTAATATGCCATTAGACCGATAGACCAACGAGCAGAGTTCAGTAGAGAATGTATGATAACAAATTAAGATATAAAGGTAAACAGGACAAATAAACATGCATGCGTATATAAAAGCTCCCTTCATTGTCAGTTGCGACAATAAGCTAACTAGAGCATATGCCATAAAGTATTTAATAATAAAATCTCTCCTGTCACGAGGAGAGAATTACCTCCTTATTGTCTTTCATGTTTGTTCTCTGTTGTTTTGCTCGAGCATTGACAAACATGCGAACTTTGTTTGTTTAATTACTTCATTTGGATATTTAGCTGAACATAATGTTATGGATGAACGTAGTAAGACAGATAGGACTTTATATACCTAATTAATTAAAATCCTACTAAAATTGAATCCGATAATTGGTGAGGTTAATTAGAAGCACATTTGTTGCTTGACAAATGAAGGTAACAGTCATTGAATCATGTAGATTATAAATCAATAAACAACATTATCATCACAATAAACTTGTATGGGATAGTGTGCTCTTAGAACTTAAGACTCGCACTTAAAATTCCTTTTTGAATATGGCACTTCCACACCGAAAATGTTTTTCGAATTCACTATTTTATTTTATTGTTAATTCTTAAAAACATTATTTTTCTCTAAGCTAAAAAGTAAAAAGATGTGCATGTCTTTTTTATAAGTATCCCTACTATCCTGTTCAGAATGAAAAGAACTGGCAAGAAATTCAAGTTATATTATAGTAACTTTTATCTTGACCGTTTAATTTTAATACGACTAATTTATATAAATACTTTGAATATTTAAGACTAAAATTTAAAGTTTACTAAACACCTTCCTATGGCACTTTACATAAAAAATGGGAACTATCAATAATAATGTCAGAAAATAAAATACCAACTTATATAAAAAGTGTAACATGTAATAAAAAATAATAACAAAACAACAATAAATAAATCAACTACAACATGAAAACAGTTGAAAATGACTTAAAATTAAACAACAATATTTACAAGGCACGGTAAACAACAACACACACATTCATCCATTCAATCCTATAACCAATACCAAATCAGACCTCAATGGTCTTTATGATGGTGTATGGTCTTGTAGATAGGGATCTTGACGGGGTAGGGCTGGGGTACGTGAACTGTGACTGTCTTCTCCACCTTTATTGGCACGTGTTTCTCCACTGGATAAGGAACATGCTTCACTACTGGGTAAGGTACGACCTTCTCAATAGGGATTGAAATTTCAGTCTCAACTGGGACAGGGACAGGCTTGTTTACTGGTACCTTGACTGGGTAGGGCTGGGGTACACCCACAAGAATAGGTTTTGGTACATTAACATGGATTGGCTTATGAATTGGGACAGCAACATGTTTGTACAAGGGTATAGTAACTGGACTTTCAACATCGACGTGTTCGCCCACAGGGATACCGTGATCAGCATGACCGCCATCGCCGAAATCATGGCCGCCATCTTGAAGAACGAAGCCTTGACCATGACCGCCCGAGTCACCACCGTGACCGCCATGTTCACCTTCTTGACCACCGAAGTCACCTCCATAGCTGATCAAGCTCTGGCCATGTCCAAAATCTTGGCCTCCATGCCCGAAACTTTGGCCTCCATCACCAAGACTTTGGCCTCCATGTCCGAAACTGTGGCCTCCATCACCAAAACTTTGGCCTCCATGTCCAAAATCTTGGCCTCCTAAATCATGAGCCGCTTGTAAATATGAGTCTCCGCCTCCTATGCTGTGTCCTCCAAAAGAAGATACATCTCCATGTCCTTCAAAACCGCCTTGCGACCCTAGATCGTGTCCAGATACAGATCCTCCAGAGAAATCGTGCCCACCAGATCCTTGAGTAAGTGCTAACGTGTAGTCATGTCCACTCTGTCCTCCCCCTAAATCGTGACCTCCACTAGAAGGCGCGTAGTCGTATCCGCCTGCTGAGCCACTGTCTCCGCCGTCATGACCTGATATACCACTTAGGCCGTGCCACCCTCCTGTTTGTATTATACCGGCCCTGCAACTCGCCACTGCTAACAACAAACACACCTGCAAAGAAAAGAAAATATGTTTATAATATATATAAATAAAAACTAATTTCAGAATATTTGCAAATGTAATGATTAAAAGCGGCTGTTTGCTTTTTGTTGTATTCTTACTCTACGTCTTCAGGATGACGGTTTGTATGAAAGTATAGGTTTTAGAAGTTATTCCGGAGTAGTGAAAGAGATTTGTTGATTTTATATCTTTATATTACATATGTCTTAAATAAATAAATTAAATTTAATTGAAAATTTCCATATAAAAATATTGACAAATTGATCGTATTGTAGACTACATTTGGTTTCGTTTTGTTAATTAATACATTCAAAACAGGGGCGATCTATCAGTTTAAATTTAACGCATTGCAGTACACCAGTTTCTAATAAGTAATTTAAATTACAAAATAAACTGAAATTACAATGAAAAAAGAAACAGATTGGAGACCGCTGTTCTTCATTACATGATCTCATCTCTTCGTATAATAGAATACGAAGAAAATAAAATGTATTGTTACGAAAATCCCAATTTATAATTGGCTATTACCGAAGGCGACCGCACGAGACGGTGAATTATAGAATTAAAAATAAATAAATAAAGCAAGCATTCACTTTCGATTGCTTTTTATTATTTAAAATTTGTGTAACCACGTCATTTACTTACAATAAATTAATAATACAAACTTATTTGTTTACTTGAGATATCGATTTTTCATTCACAATAACAGATTATTGACAATAATAATTGCGAGTCTGTTATCTGTTATTTTTATACGTAGCATTTACAGTAAATAACTAGTTACTCGCCTCGGTTTCGCGTATTCAGATATTCCTACTATTTTACATAAAAATTTCAGAAATCAGTCCATTGATGAATTGAAATCGCATTAAAATTCATTCAATATTTTTTAAGATCAGGAAACTAGTAAATCTACTATGATGAATAAAATCTAAAGCAAATGCCTAAAAACCAATATGTAAGAGCTTAATTAAATTAAATTTGTATTAAAAAACATCTACAAATTAAAAAAATATATATATCGCACTCAAATCGGATAAGCCGTTACTGAGATTAGCACGCCTTACGTCAGTTAGTTAGTACAAACAAACGAACAAACAAAATTCTAACTATATTTGTTTTGTTTTACATTACGTTCACAAAATCTTATATACGAGTATCTTCCATGTGATCATATTGTATCATATTTTAACTGTAGGTATATTATTTTAATTATTCTTGATTATGTATATGTATACATTCATAATGTATGTATATAGATCCATAATTAATAAGAATTAAAATAATGCGATAATATTAAAATATATATAATACAAGAACAAGTTATTGGCGAAGTAAGAAGATCACATGTTACCGTCGCTTGATAACGATGCCACTTCCTTTCACTTTTCAGGGTTCCGTATTAAAACATCGTAATACTGTGTTGTGCCCGCGGTTTCACCCACATTAAATTTCAATTAAATATATAGCTTGTAAGTTATTCTGATCCATTAGCTATATTACTGTATAGTTTCATGAAAGTCCGTTCAGTAGTTTTGGCGTGAAAGAGTAAAAAACATCCATACTGACATAGTTTCACGTTTATAATATTATTACCCGCAGTTAACCCCAACTAGCTGTTACTCGCGACTTCGTCTGTTTTTATTGATATAAAAGATTGTCTGTGATACAATTTATATTGATGTCAAATTTAATTAAAATCCGCTCACCCATTTACTACATAGTAACCATATCTGATTTTACAATTTTACAATAAAATAATTATGTAAATTAATTATGTATATCCTGTTCAAAACTTTTATAATGAAGTTATTCAATCTAAAAATAAATTCTAAAATGGAAATAGTAACGAAATATCATTAAAATATTTATTGTATACTTTTTTCATCTAATTTACACAAATTTGTAGAAATCTACTTAAGTAATTACATATTTTTGAAATTAGACTTTAAAGTTAAAGCTTTAGAGTTGACTTTCCAAAGTTTTTAATTTTTGAGTTAATCCAATGTTCTACTATGTATACGATATGTAGCAGCATCATACATATTTAACTGTTTAAATATATATGTACTCGTACATATAAATACTATAATTTATATTACGGAACCCAAGTTTTGACAGTCGATTCACACTAGAGTATCGAGAACATTCACCGGTTTAAGTTGATTGACAAAAATTGTAATACAAATACGACATTACGTTCTCCTGTCGACTCAAGTGAAGGGAGAGCCCACTTTCAGCTATAATTAATATACAGACACATATACCAAGTAACAATAAATATATTTGAATTATTTTCATCACATTTTTACGTATATTTTAATAGTTAATGGCAATTTATATATATACACTGGCCGACCCGCGCAATTTCATCTGAATCACACTTACATGACATTTATCATTATATTTCGCCCAATGTACATAATATCTTTTAAAATTATAGCCTATATGTTAGTCTCATGTATAAGCTATATTACTGTAAAGACTCATGACAATCCGTTCAGTAGTTTTTGCGTGAAAGAGTAACAAACATCCACATTCACAAACTTTCGCGTTTATAATGTTATTATTAAGATTAAGATAAACGTAAATAATTGCATAGAAAATACTCATGCCAATACTACAAATCGCATGAATTGCGCGTGGAATTTAACCCGCAAACATCAGAACTAAGGATGTGCTTAACCACTGAGACCGATATCAAATACAGCATATCCACTTGTATATTACGTCATACAGCAAAAAGTTTTTAAATCTTTGCCAGTTCAATAAAGTTGTATTCTAAATTTAAATTCTGTATCACGATTAGTCTGTGTTGCCAAATACTACAGAATCCTACAGATAGCGAATTCAAAACAAACTTGATTTTATTTTATTTACTTAAGTAATTTGGACCGTTATTGGACCTAGTTAGATGTTACTTAACTTCGTTAAGATTTCCGGACTCTAAACACACTGTTGTGTAAAAAGTAAATAATTTGAATTCATATCTGCCACTCGGAAGACCGCTAGACCACCGGGGCCGTCAAATTTCTTATTACAATTTATTACTTAAATAATTTGGACCGTGTTTAGACCTAGTTTGTTACTTCACTTAAGATTTCCGGGTTCCGCTCACACTAGTCAACTGGTTGACGTAACCAAGTAATTTTACGGAGCAAATTCCTTTGTCACGCTTCGGTATCAATACATCAATGGTTGCACTCTGATATTTGTTACTTTATTTCGTGAAACATAATAGGTAGCCATTGTTGGGTTAGTGCTGTCTGCGCTTTTACGTTGTATAATATAGATATTACTTGCTCAACTCATATTAAACGTTTTATTGAATGATAATGGACACGAAATTGGATAAAAAATCGATTGACATTATTCTTTACAACTAACAGTACTTATTACGTGATGGACCTATTTCATTCATTGTCTAGTACCGGCTACATCACAGAAGATCATTGTGAGTTCAGCAAGTTCAAACAATAACTTGACAAGGTTTTTTACGATGAATAGTATGGCAAAAACAGATATTTACCCACCCAATAGTAAGTGGTAACAGTCATTCATATCATGAACGGCACCAAGGATAACACGTTATCACGTGAGAATGGTAAGACCTATGCTTTAGCATTCTTTTATCATCACTTCATCATAGTTCTATCCTCATCCATCACTCATTGATTTATGATAACTATCTATAATAAACCTATGTATATGAATAAAGTTAATTTTCAAATTTCGAAATTCAAAAATCGTATATTCATGTAGGACATTTCAAGTTTTTTGTAATTATTTTTTTCCCTACCGTCCAATTCAGCGTACAGATTCAATTTAGAAGAACAGGCATTTTTATTTGATTAGATTCAGGAGGACTCAGAAGCCAGGTCTCTGTATCCTATAATTTTACTTTTCAAATTGAAACACAGCTTACAAATCAGCCTATCCGGCGGCTGAATTAGATTAGATACAGGTACTTACGTAAACACTTCATACTAAGTACATATCTGTTAATAATAATTTAAAATTACTTACAATAAAAGATGATAGTAATCCATTATTGAAATAAAACCTTTTTTACGCAATTTTTATAATATTCAATTATATTGATGGTATTCTTAAGAGCATTTTGAATTGATTCGAGTTGGATAACACAATGTAATCGCTGACATTGTAAGTCAAAAAGTTCAATGGCGGGATCTATACTTATTCTTTTTGTCAGTCCGTCTGTCTAGACTGTTTTATTGATAAATTAATAGAACGTGGAAATTGCGACAGACGGAAGACTGCATAGAGATATTACTAAATTATCTTTAGGAAAATATATCTTTCAATTTGTAATTGAAATGATAATCAAGCTGACGGCCCGCCTGATGGTAAGTGGTGCACTGGTAATACACTGATTTGTTGCTATTATGGAGGACAAAGAAGAATGCCCCTTAATCTGTAATTTCACTGGCGTATCGTATGCCCTTTAAGAGAAAAATGTATGTATAACAAAGCAAACTGATTTGCAGCTGAATTATATATATGTAAAACTTCCTTCTCTTACATATATATGTATTGGAGAAGTACGTTTATTATATAACTGAAGTAATAAATAAAATAACATTTCTACTAAAGGAAAACGACCACCATCGTAATAGTGTAAAAAGTGTCACCAATATTATCTGAAAAACTAAGGTGTCATCTCTCTATAACCTTATAATCTAACTGCCATATCTCACCTTAGAAACCGGAACATATTGAACAATGGAAATTAAATAAAATTACCTAATAATTCTGAATCAAACATTCAATGATTCCATTCGACATAACAATGTAACATACATTATTAAATTTCTACTACTTATACTATATGTTCTCATAATTATCCCAAAATGTATGTGGCTACGACAAAAAATGAAATCTCGTTATATTTAGAATGACTGATATTCATATAGCGTGATAGAGTAAAATTAAGAATATCCTAAGATGATGTTACAGTTATTTGCTTTCAC